GATAATTATATTTCGGAAGTTAGTTTTAATATAAAATACCATTTAGCAACGTTCGCGATTCCAACTTTCCAATGAGCAATTCATGAGCAAATCTCGCACTGCTGCCTGTTTCTAGATAGTGTCGCTATTTTGAAATTTATTTTGACAATATTCTCGGTCTCCCGAGAACTTACGAGTCTGGTTTTTGTTATGCGCACTTAATTTGAGCACCTAATACCTAATCGAAGAGATATAGGCAAATCCCAGATAAGAAGGTAAAAATACCGTAATAGATTTAAACGCTCAACTTAAGCAAGGATAAAGATGATAACTACATCTTTTACATTTCTTTGCAGAAAATATTTTTATTACAATCAAAACATTTCACAACGTATATCTGTATAAACAGTATGAAAAAAAAACAAGTTTCCTCCTTTGATTTTTACTTCAATGTTTTTATTTTTGTTTTCACTGTGGCTTACAATTTTCAAGTACAGAACATCACATCAATTTATACATTTAAAGTTTTTTACTTGTAATTTTGTACAAAAATTGTATTTCATTTACGGAATTCAATTTTTATTCCTATAATATATAATATCGTGTTAAGTTTTGGACCTTTTTCTTTGGAAATTGTATTGATTTTATATGAAAGGGAAGTAGGTTTTATCGAACTCTCTGCCATATAATCATAGTATTTGTATTAATGAAAGGTAAATATTAATTAAGTAGTCAAATATTTTATATATTTGTATTAAATTTGAATTCGTATAATGTTCATTCTATAGCATATAAGAAAAATACTAAAATAAAATACAAATATATTGTATTCAACACATCATTACCTAAATCATTTATGTTCGGCCTATTTTATGCAATACAGATAAAGACCAACCATAGATTGTTAAAAACAGTTAAATTTACGTAAACTTAAATATCAGAAATTATCAATGTGATAAGTAAATAAAATGTAACAAACAGCGAAAAATAATATTATTGTAAACCAGATTTAATAATAATAATCATAATACATTTTATTTTCATCACTTTTACCTATAAAAATGTAAATTACAATTTATGAGTAAAGTTTAATAATACGTAGAATTATTTCGATACAGTTTTTAAGTGCACTTTTCTAGATTATATTATACAGATCAATGTTTATATATATTTGTAATAAAAATTACCCCAATGATCAGGTTATCTCATATTTTACAACATACGTCTTTGTTCTACACACATTTTTATACCTGATACTGGAGTCAAAAGAACTTCCACGGAAGTAACGATCTTATCCTGAGGATCCAAAGAGTAAACTTTAAAATTACGAAGAACATTTGCTAAAACCATTTTCATGTTAATCATGGCAAGTTTATATCCTGTAAATTTAAAAAATTATAATATAATATTTTGTTTTGTTTTTGTATTTATTCACTAATCACTTACCGAGACAATTTCGTGGCCCGGCAGAAAATGCCAGAAATGCATAAGGATGAAGATTTTTATAGTTTTCAGGTAAGAAACGGTCTGGATCGAACACTTCGGGATTTTCGTAAACGGAAGGATTATGATGAATGCCACAGATATTTACGATAAGAGTCGAATTTGCAGGCAACACGTAATTACCTATTTCAATGACAACGATTAAGTACTTCAAGTTAATAAAAAATAAAAAATATTTTTATCGAAAAACAAATTTCAAGATATCAAAAATTACTTATTTTCATTTCCGATTGGTTTTTTCTTGCTATTAAAAAACCAGGAGAATAGATTCTCATCGACTCCTAAAAATTGTAACATATAAAACTAATCCTTGAATGTATTAAAGAAAGTAAAAAGTTACCTTAATTACGCATTCTAAGTACGTCATTTTCGTCAGGTCATCGATAGTGATATCTCTTTTCATATCATTTTTGAAAATTTCTTGAAATTCTAGATACACTTTCTCTTGTATTTCGTGGAATCTTCCCAGGAAATAAAGAGTCCATGACATAACGTTAGAGGTTGTATCGTAACCCTGATATTAAAATACGTTGAAAAAAAATGTAAAACTTCTTTTTGTATAACTGACATTTGCAGTAAAATAAATACTGTATAATAAACTTGTAAAATTAGGATATGGAATGCACAAATTCTTTTATATTCCTGTCATACCAGTTTACAATGCACGATCACATTCCTTGCAGCAAGCAGTTAACGTAGTTCTTCGTACTTTAACTTTATCTTTATTTACTCCCGATTCCGGCAGAGCATAATCCAGTCAATGGACGAAGTACACGTTAAATTGTTTACAAACTGTGTAATTAGTCGAACGAAAAAGTTAAATACACATCTTGAATTATCTTGACTTACGGCAACATATTACAAGTCATAATATATGACGTATATTTACGACTTTTTCTGTTATTATATTTCGGTCATCACCTCAGACATTACTTGCTTTGAATACTTTCAATAATGTTTATAAAAGGAATTTTATTAATTACACTAGTAAAGATAATTAGATAACAGAGAATAGCTTACAAAACTGAGTCACAAATTTACAAACTACTATATTATATAATCATTAGAGAAACCGAATTCGATGTTAAGTCGAAAAAGTAAGGCTCGAATTTCGTGCTTTAATTACACACAATAATTATACTAATAATGTTTAAAAATCACCAGTAGATACACATTTTAAATTTTTAAAAATTATATTTTTCCTGCGTCTATATGAATAGAGAAAATATACAGTAATTAATACCGAAATTACAAATATTATTTACTGTAATAATTAATTATGAATGAAATGTAATGATTTCACAAACATCTGAAATTGAATGCAATTTCTAATTATAAGAAAGTAATTATGATTATTTTTGAAATAGGTTTATATTATATTTTAATTATAATTTTCGTCGCTGAATTAAGTTTTTGTGAAATTATTTATATTTAAATACGTTGTTTAGAAAAACATTATTTCAAAATAATGAAAATAATATCATTGAAATACATGCGTGCACGATTACATAATTATTTCCGATTACACCTTTAATAAATTCTGCCTACCGCAAAAATAAAGCCTTCCATATCTCTGATAACGTCTTCTTCCGACATTAAACCTTGTTTGACATGAAGATCCAACAATGAATCAATAACACGCTGTTTTGTTTTGATCTTTGGTTCCTCTTCATTATGTGTTTTTTTGTCTAAGGAATGTTGCTGCTGCATTTTTTTCATATAATTCTCTTTTTTTCTTTTGAACACCTATACATTAAATTAAATCATTAAATACTTAATTCAAAATTCCATTCACAAGTTGGATTTACCTTTTCGTGGAAACGATGAATTATTTCAACGTCTCTCTTGTAATTTTTTCCTATTTTCTTCATGAAAAAAATTGGGGAAAACCAGTACAAAGGATTTGTAATCAATTCAAAAGTATTTTTCACAGTTCTAAATTTTAATATAAATTTTTATTATATCAAAAGATAATTAATGCAAATTTAAAGCTTGTATAAAAAATAAAGTACTTTCAACTATTAAATCTACATAAAATTTAACATTATATATTTCTTGTGAAAAACATAATAGTATTTTCTTAAATTAAAATAATTTGTAATACATAAAATTTATTTAAATTACAAATTTTTCTAAAACTTTTTTTTATGTTTTTTTTAAAAAATGCAGGGAAGTTTGCAGTTATTTCATATCGTAATTAATTTATTTTTAAGAAATATTAAAAATAAGTTTCGGACTGTATATTTTTATATTTTGATTAGATGTTTAAACGTAAGTTTTCGCTATCATATAGACTTCTTCTATAGTACTGATACAACAGAAGAAAAACACAAAGATTGATAAATACTAGTTATTCATTGCGACAATGGTATGCTTTGCGGGAAGTTCTTCTGTCTTACATTTGTCATTAATTTGAAAATCTTTCATACTTACATAATGAACGCATTGTATTCGTTTAGAATCTCGATACTTTTTTCTACATATTGTTCTAACAAGTCTGTATTACGATCAGCACGTATACAAAAAACACTTCATTTGTACAAACTTATAATATTTGGTTAATTGATAAACAATCAAAATTTGAAATGTTTTCCTTCTACTGAAGTTGACTCGAACATTTGAAATTTTTCATCAGATATAAACCAACTTTATATTATTTAACATAGAAATTACATTTGTAAATATCATTTGAAAAATGAAGAAATATATCTGGAACGGAATTTTCCTTACCTCTGTATTGCGGACACGTATTCTTGTTCGTTCGTAGTCTGAGAATGTAGAGCAACTCCGACTACTATGTCTACATAAAAATAAATTGATATTTATATTTTATAAATAAATAAACAACCTCAATTGAAAATGATATTCAGTTTCGGGAAGGCATCGCAGAACAAATAATTTAAAAAAAAAGTACTGAACGAAACAGGAAAGTAATCAAGTAATTGTAAAAGCCTTACTGTCCTTAAATTCTAATGTTATTGTTAATTGTCTACTTGGACTTTACTTATTAATAAGACTTTATACTGGTGTTTAAAGATCGGCACAGCAATGAGAGTTACTTCATAAAGTACTATTAATAAGTATAAAGTCCTGTTAATAAGTAAAGTCCAAGTAGACAATTAACAATAACATTACGAAAGCAATCAGTTCCGCCATGCAAAATTGATTATAGTCAGTTTTAGTTTTAACTACAGTCGGTAGACAGGGATAGTGTTAATAAAAATGATAGTTATTCAAGAAACGAAGTCGTCCTGTGTGTCAAAATTTTACACAAGTAAGTCCGTAATTACCGGAAAACATGTAAGTGGTAAAAAAAACTGTTTGCATTCCTGCCACTGTTCATTGTTGGTTTCGGTAAGGAAAGTTCAGTAGCTCATTTTTCTTGCAGTGACATATAAATGAATATATATTATTTTTTAAAAATTGATTTCATACTTTTTCTACGTAATAAGTAAGAAGTGGAAAAAATGAAAATTTTATAATATGTGTTAACAAATTGATATTTATAATTCTTAATTAAATATTTTACATTAGACTTTAATACCTGCAATTATATCCAGAGTGCAATATTTCATCCATTCCAGGATATCGAATATTTCATTCTTTTGCAATTGTTTGAGTTTCTCCACTAAGACGTTTGAATGCTCCATAAATATATTTTGATCATNGGAAGATTCATTTTTAACTCCTGGCCGTTGTCTTTACTTTCTGAAAAATTAATATCTGTTATAAAAATAAAAGTTGATAACGAGCAATCATTATTGCGACATCGTCAGAATGCCGAGCAGCAACTTTTTAACCTATGTTTAATTAATTTAATTTACAATATACGCCTTCGACTTAAATTAGTGGTTTCTTGCGCCTGTACATCATACTTTTTCATCAACAACAAAATAATACCTGTCATCTATCAAATACTTTCAAAGGAAAATATTTGAATTGAAGTAATTTGACTTCTGATTTTCAACGAATGTTCGTATATAATTATTCAGGGCCGCACTTGCGAAGAGTGTCCACGGCTTGTCTCCTTAGTATATCTTTCCTCCTTCTTCAAATTAAGGAATGACTATCAGACAGTCAATGGACAGTAGGAATTTATAGGCCTACAGTTATTTCGAATCGCAGCTCAATAACTATATATCGTATGTCATAAAAGTATTTTGTTTTCATTTTGTTACATTTGATTTATTCATACACGTACTTAATATATTGTATAGCAATTGTACAAATAAGTTTCGTTATCCATGTTAGGATATGCAAAATGTATATTTTCGAATAATTAGTAGATTTTTTTTAACTTGTTAAAAATATTTTTATTGCGAAATTTTGTTTCCTTGTATTGTAGACACTTCAGTAAAGTAGAAGCACTTTGTTTCTGATTAAATGGCCTGGACATAGTGACCTGTCATTGATTTTATTAAATTTTAGTAATTTAAGGTCTAGAGATGGAGAGATATAAAGGTATAATATAACGAAGACTTTACAAGTTATTAAAGTTTACAATATTTTATAAAATTTATCTTTACTGTTAAAATTAAGTGTTTTACAATTTTATAATTAATAATGGAAAAATATTTTTAAAATCTTATAACTTATGAAGTTACACACATATTATCAGTAGTATATTTATAGATATAAAAGTGATTTTTTAAAGTAAAATCTATTAACAGTCGGTAAAGTTTGATAATTCGCCGCTGGAATTTTTATAACGCTAAATATTATTGCGTAATTATAAAATTCACTAGTTGTATTATTAATGTAGTAAGAATGGAAACAAATTTTTGGTCATAAACTTTTTGTCGATTTTTACACAATTCTTCAGTTATTTAATTAATTTAATTTTATAAATTCTCGTTATTTTGAAATAAAACTTTCAAAGACACCAAAAAAGAGGTGGTCTGTTGTCAAAAGAACTTTTAAGTGTATGCAGACGTTTTCTAGATTTTCCATTATCTTGGTGTCGCGAAAATCCCTCGTTGTAAATTAAGTCGAAATTGCAGAATTTGGAATTGCCAAAACGATCCAAAGAATTTATTTAAAGTTCAGCACTTTCGTACTGTTTATCGCGGACATTAAATATAAATATTTTA